TGTCCTACGCTGCTTGGATATGAACTGGTTTTCCCTCGGACAACCAGATTTACTGCAACCACGCGAACAAGGGGGAATCGGCTTTCGAATTTCGGCTATCGGGTCAAAAAGTTTTTTTCAACCTCCGCCGAGACCCCCCCCTCCCCCCCTATATACGGAAGGAGTTTCCCACCCTGAGCGGCGGGCCGTGCCTCCGAGTCATGTGCGGGCTCACCGCCACCTCACTGCCACCTGATGGACAGCTTCCCAATCCAACCGACAACATAACCACCTTATTCATTCAACCCCTGGGACACTCCAGGCTGCCCAGAATATACATAGGCTACAAGTACAACAATGTTATGGTCCTTCTATGGGCTATTGACTCATTTTGTAGCACCCAAACTCCCATACCAGAGACTGTTGGGCCTCGAGGAGTCTCCTGACACTCATTCTATGGCCCCTGCACCTCCCAAATGCCTTAGATAGTGGTTTAGGCATCCCAAGACCTCCGTTGAAATGTATAGTAAAAAGTTTTTTTCAACCCCCGGGGGGACCCCCCCCCCCCCCCCTCCCCATAGCCGAAATTTTAATGCCGATCCCCCCTTGCACGCGAACAACGACGCCTCCACGCCGAAGTGACAATACGTCAACTGGCTGCTACAACTCAACTCGCCCCGTCCTCGACTACAACACCACATGTAACAAGCTGGGGGTCGGACGGCTCCATGCTGCCCGCGTCGGCGAGCCTATTCGACAACAAGGCTGTCACCGCCGCAGTTACCGGACCCAAGACAATGGTACTAAAGCTCGAAGGACGTAACATCTTCATCCTTCATGGAGAACTAATGGGACTGATCATCTGCCTCATTCTATCTGACCCGAACGACGACTCTACGCTATATTCGGACCACCTGAATGCGACACGGCTCATCGATGACAGCAAAACCGCCGTTGACCAGCAAACACACCTTCGCGGCATGAATGGACGGTCCTATTATCGATGGATCCTACGCCTCGTCGCAGACAACCCGCTTAAAATTGTGTACACACCCGGTCACTCAAGCGAAGTCACCGTCCCTGCACGTCTCAATCATGAAGCTGATCACTACGCTTCATCCGCGCAGCGTCACCTCGACGAAGTCTTCACTGCACCCACTCCGACCTTCTACATGGATGAATTCACTTTCCACACCCGTGACGACGGATGGATCGAATCAAGTATCCGTAACTATGTGGAGAAGTCCCAGATACTTAACGCGAGCAAACACCTCACGGTCGGCCATCAACACCGAATGGCGCTCCATCTATACGACATCACCCCACCCCCCGAATACTCATACACCATGGCTTACTCCGCTTACTCGGCGGTCGTACAGCTATACGCACGCTCGGGCCAGCTCCCCACCGCCGAGATCCTTCACTCCAGAGGCAAGATCGACGACGAACGATGCCGCGCCGGATGCGACGCCATCGAAGACCAACACCACATCTTTGTGGTCTGCGAGCGTTACGCCGAGTGGAGAGAAAAAGCCGCTGAGGACTTGTACCGGCGCACAAACAACAAGCTTGCCGAGAAAGGCATCGAGGAGGTCAACCGCGTCGGCCTCCTCCCAACAGCTAAGTCCCTCTTTTCTGACAACAAATCAATATGGCCGCTACATTATTCTACGTACTATTTAGGACACCTCCCCAAAATCGAGCCCCACTTACCGAGAAAGATCGGCGAAAACGGCGACAGGGTTGTACGAACGCGCTTAGCCCACCACCTCGCCTCCGACTGGCACACTGCAGCCATCCGACTCGCGGGCCGAATTTGGGGAGATTGGCAACGTGAAATGGCCAAAGCCAACGACGCACGAGGAAGATGAAAATGAAGAAGGAGCAGATGTCGGGTTGATGCGGAGTTTGGACGCCACGGAGAGATTCATAATGGAGAGAAAATGGAGAGATCTACACGGCGAAAGGACGCTTACCCTCACCCATAAGATCCGCCGTGGTCGGCTTCGGCCGTACCTCAGTCTAGTATTAGACAGAGGCGTGATTACGAATGTAAACATGTAAACAAAATGGATGCAACTCGGCAATGGCCTGGCCCCGAATGGAACGGGGGCCTTCCGATCCAACCCGAACCGATACCATACAGAGATCAGATGCACTCCAAGTGCTATCAGGCCTTCCTATCTCCAAGTTCACCCTCCATACATGCACCTCAAAAATTCATTTGGCATGGGCATTACCAGCGCAATGAAAAAACTTGGGTGACGCTCGATGGCCCAGCCCCGAATCGAACGGGGAACTTCTGATTAATCCTTATCTATATCATCATACAGATCTCAGATGCACTCCACATGCTACCAGGCCTGATTCTGTACAGGCTCAACCTCCCTACATGCACCACAAAATCTCTTTCTGTGTAGCTATATCGAGTTTCAATGAAAAAAGAACGCCGATGTAGCATGGCCCAGCCCTGAATTGAACGGGGACCTTCCGATTAATTTGGAGAAGGTGTTTGCTACTCATCTCGGAGGCACTCCAAGTGCTACCAGGCCTGATTCTGTACAGGCTCAACCTCCATACATGCACCAAATAATTTAAATTCTGTGTAGCTATTATCAGTGTCAATAAAAAGCGTATTCGAGGGGACCATGGCCTGGCCCGAAGCGAACCCATCTCCACACCCAACCTTTAAACATGCACTTCGAATCAAAAATTTCATTCATTGTCAGCATCAATGAAAAAAAAAAAAACAAGCAGAGGCCCGGCCCCGAATCGAACGGGGACCTTCTGCATGTAAGCACATGCGCTACATGAGGATACACAGATGCACTCCAAGTGCTACTAGGCCTTACTACCTGCATTTTCAACCTCCATACATGTGCCCTTGATATTTAATTGGGCGTATCTATTATCAAGTGTTAATGAAAAAAGGTGGAGTGGATAAACAAGCAAAGGCCCGGCCCCGAATCGACCGGGGACCTTCCGCGCATAATATTGTGAGGCAGCTCTACATTTTACGGGTGCACTCCGCGTGCTACCGGGCCTTTTGGTAGGGTGTTTGAACCTTGGGTATACCGTGTTTGAATCATGATTACTAGCCACCCGTATTTTTGAGCGACGTTGGATTTCCCCGCTTGTGACCGAACGGAAAGAGCCGAAGTGGCAGTGTCGTGACGCATCACTCTCCGCGCCCGTGGTGTGACATACTTTTTTCTCTTCTCCTCCCCCTCAAAATCGTCAAAAGAATGTCCGCAGCCGCGCGCGCGATCCGCACATTCACCACCTCCTCCCTCGCCTTCGCCCCCGCCGCATCTGCCTCCGCCGCCTCCATGGCCGCCCCCAACGTCTTCGTGCGTCCTCTTCTGCTTGCTTGACTAGTGAAGGAAGCGCTTATGGGAGGAATGTGGTGCGCAGTTCGACATCGCGATCAACGCAAAGCCGTCGGGGCGGCTCGTGTTCCGGCTGTACGACGCGGAGGTCCCGCGCACGGCGCGCAACTTCCGCGAGCTCGCGACGGGCGCGCCCGGCTTCGGATACGCCGGCTCGGGGTTCCACCGCATTATCCCGCAGTTCATGCTCCAGGGCGGGGACTTTACGAACCACAACGGGACCGGGGGGAAGAGCATCTACGGCGCGAAGTTCGCTGGTGCGTTCCTCCTTCGTGCTCATCGCTCACTCGAATTAACTCCCGCGCAGACGAGAACTTCATCCACCGGCACACGCGCCCGGGCCTGCTGAGCATGGCGAACGCGGGGAAGAACACGAACGGGTCGCAGGTGCGTTCCTTGCTCCCTCCCTTGTGCACCTGTCGTAACACTAATGCGCGGCTGCAGTTCTTCATAACGACCGCCGTAACGTCCTGGGTGCGTTTCTCGTCCGATTTTACACGCCTACCCCCCTCGCGCTGCTTTACATTACCCCCCCTCCGCCGTGCTTAAATCCCCTCTCCCTCCCGTTGCGCACGATCTCCATCCGCTCCCGGTCCCGATCCCCTCCGCCCTGCTCTTAATCGCCTACCCCTCTGCCGTCAATCCACCCTCGCTTCGCCTCCGCGCCGCTTTGGCCCCCACTCCCCATCTTTTCGTCCCTCACCCCCTCCGTCCGCCCTCCACTCGCACCTCACTCCTCCCCTCCTCCCCTCCGCGCCGTCGTCAACGGACCCACCCGCCTTCGCTATCCGTCCCTCCGTGCCGCACATCCCGCCGCACTGCTCTTACGCATCACCCCGTTCGCGTCCTTCTGCGGCTCTTTCCTGTTCTTGGCTACGCTGCGCTTACTTCTTCACTCATCTTTCATGTCCTCACTTCACTCCTTCACTCCTCTTTCCTTCCCTCCTCCTGCCCTCTCGCTCCTTCCTCCCGCTAACCCATCCGCAGCTCGACGGCAAGCACGTCGTCTTCGGCGAGGTCGTGGACGGCATGGAGCTCGTCCGGACGATCGAGGCGCTGGGCAGCGAGAGCGGCGCGCCGAAGGCGCGGGTCGTTATTAGTGCAAGTGGGGTTGTGGAGTAGGGGGTGCGTCTTTGTTGGATTAAAAAGAGTGGAGGGGTAGAGTAGGAGAGTCTAATATCATTTAGCGAAACCGCGGATATCCGTTACGCGTACGAGAATTGGATCCCTTCATTCAGCGGCGTAGGGGTCCTGCCCCTCCTTGCGGTCGTTCTTCGGCTCGTGGCATGAGTCATATGCATTCTTTCTCGCAAGCAAATCATTCCTCTTTTCGCGGTCGCTCTTCCTGCCGGCAACCGCGCCTTTTCTTTCCCACTAGGGAGGTTGGTCAGGTTGGTCAGTTCGGTGTATAGTAGCACAGTGAATGTGGAAAAAGAATCTGCGAGGGATTCAGGCCATGGCTCGGGCCTGAGTCGAACAGGCATCCTCTGCATGCACTTTCCGTACGCACCGGGGATTGTAAGCAGATGCGGACCCTCCGCTACCGAGCCTTGTTCCCTTACTTTGGAACTTGGTTAGGTGGATGAATTTATTGTACCCAGCTGAAAGAAAAAGCAGCAGCTGGCTTGGAAGAGGCTCGAGCCTGAGTCGAACAGGCATGCTCTGCTTGATCCAATCAAATCCACAAACTATGGAGAGCAGATGCGGACCCTCCGCTACCGAGCCTTATTCCGCTACTTTGGAACTTGATGAGGTTGATGAATTTCTTGTACCCAGCTGAAAGAAAAACAGTGGGGAATCCTTTGGCATGGCTCGGGCCTGTCGGGCCTGAGTCGAACAGGCATGCTCTGCATAATACTAACAACGGCCGCAACATGGATAGCAGATGCAGACCCTCCGCTACCGAACCTTATCTGAATCTATATCGCTCACCTTTACCCAGAGTGAGTCGTACGCCAGCTCAAAAAAAAAAACCGTCGCCTGGTTCTATCGCATGGCTCGGGCCTGAGTCGAACAGGCATTCTCTGCATGGGCATTCTGAATCATACACGGAGCTCATGGTTGGCAGATGCGGACCCTCCGCCACCGAGCCTCATTCTCGTACTATGGAATGTAATGAGGTTGATGAATTTCTTGTACACAGCTGGAAGAAAAACAGTGGGGGAATCCTCTTGCATGGCTCGGGCCTGAGTCGAACAGGCATTGTCTGCTGTTTCAAACACTAAGCCAATTCATTATTCAGAGCAGATGCGGACCATCCGCTACCGAGCCTTATTCCCTTACTTTGGGACTGGGTAAGGAGGATTGGTTTCTTACATCCATGCTAAAAGAAAAACAGCTGCTGCCCTGGAAGAGGCTCGGGCCTGAGTCGAACAGGCGTGATCTGCATGCACTTTCCTATCCTTAGCACCATTGTGAGCGGATGCGGACCCTCCGCTACCGAGCCTTGTTCCCTTACTTTGGGTCTTGATGAGGTGTGCTTCATGACGAATCTGGTACAACCAACAAGCGAAGAAAAGAGACTAAGGACAATCCCAGGGCTCGGGCCTGAATCGAACAGGCTTCCTCTGATCTCATTGCGAAACCAATTGTATGAGAGAGAAAATAAAAATGTATGGATCGAACGTACATGGTTCAGGCCTGAGTCGAACAGGCATGGTCTGCTTGATCTAGCATCAAATTCACAAACTATGGAGAGCAGATGCGGGCCAGCTACCGAGCCTTATTCCTCCAGTTAGGAACTTGGCTAGGTGAATGAGTTTATTGTACCCAGCTCAAAGAAAAAACCAATTTCCACCGACTAATGGCTCGGACCTGAGTCGAACAGGTGTGGTCTGATATAGGCGATGTGGAGCCCACATTGAGAGCAGATGCGGACCCTCCGCCACCGAGCCTTGTTTCGTTACTCTGGAACTCGATGATGTGGATAGATTTCTTACATCACTGTTAAAAAAAAGAACTGCACGGACCAAGTCAATGGCTCAGGCCTGAGTTGAAAAGGCTTCCTGTGCATGAGTGATACTCGAGAATATTTTATTTGAAGATGCGGGCTCTCCGCTACCACGCCTTGTTTCCCTACTTTTGAACTTGGTGATATTGGTGAGTTTATTGTACCCAGCTGAAGAAAAAGTGTGGTACATGCAAATGGCTCGGGCCTGAGTCAAACAGGCGCATATCTGCATGACCTACATAGAGCAAGTCGCAATATGGACAGCAGATGCGGACCCTCTCTTACCGAGCCTTGTTCCCTTACTTCGATACTTTGCGAGGACGATGGATTTCTTACATCCGTGTTAAAAGAAAAAGCAGCTGCTGGCTTGGAAGAGGCTCGGGCCTGAGTCGAACAGGTGTGGTCTGCATGCACTTTCCTATCATGAGCACCATTGTGAGCGGATGCGGACCCCCCGCTACCGAGCCTTGTTCCCTTACTTTGGCTCTTGATGAGGTGTGAAGCTTCATGACGAATCTGGTACAACCAACAAGCGAAAAGAAGAGACTAAGGACAATCCCACGGCTCGGGCCTGAATCGAACAGGCTTCCTCTGCGTGAATCTCATTATGAAACCAATTGTATGAGAGAGAAAAGGAAAAATGTATGGATCGAACGTACATAGTTCAGGCCTGAGTCGAACAGGCATGGTTTGCTTGATCTAGCATCAAATTCACAAACTATGGAGAGCAGATGCGGACCAGCTATCGAGCCTTATTCCTCCAGTTAGGAACTTGGCTAGGTGAATGAGTTTATTGTACCCAGCTCAAAGAAAAAACCAATTTCCACCGACTAATGGCTCGGACCTGAGTCGAACAGGTGTGGTCTGATATAGGCGATGTGGAGCCCACATTGAGAGCAGATGCGGACCCTCCGCCACCGAGCCTTGTTTCGTTACTCTGGAACTTGATGATGTGGATAGATTTCTTACATCACTGTTACAAAAAAGAACTGCACGGACCAAGTCAATGGCTCAGGCCTGAGTCGAAAAGGCTTCCTGTGCATGAGTGATACTCGAGAATATTTTATTTGAAGATGCGGGCCCTCCGCTACCACGCCTTGTTTCCCTACTTTTGAACTTGGTGATATTGGTGAGTTTATTGTACCCAGCTGAAGAAAAAGTGTGGTACATGCAAATGGCCCGGGCCTGAGTCGAACAGGCATCCTCTGGTGAGGAGGGAGAGTTTATTGTATCCCCGCTGGAAGAAAAAGAAACGTGGTCCTAGACAATGGCTCGGGCCTGAGTCGAACAGGCATGCTCAGCATGCTACTTCCTCATAATACGTATGTATGGAGAGCAGATGATGCGGACCCTCCGCTACCAAGCCTCATTTCCGCACCGAACAGGATTAGGTTGGCGAATTCCGTGTACCCAGCTCAAAGAAAAGAGCAACTTCCACCAACGTATGGTTCGGGACTGAATCGAACAGGCATGCTCTTCCCAGCTAATCATCAGCAGATGCGGTCACTCAACTACCGAGCCTTCTTCCCTTACTTTGGAACTGAAGTACATGGAAATTATTGAATCTTTCGTCACGATCAAATCAGAACGTTGCCAGGAGAGAAGTCAAAATTGCAGAAGCGAAGCAAAGAATAGCCTAGAGGATGGAGGACCTATGGTTATTCCTGCCTTTGGAACTTGATGATGTGGGCGAGTTCGTCGGAGCGCGACATATTTCAAATAGGGCTTGCACCCGTCCGTCTTTGTGACGGGTCGACGGGCCGTCACGACGGGACGGGACCCGTCCGTTCAGTGCGTCAGTGCCAAATTTAGACGGCCGGGAACGGAACGGGTGGACCCGTCAACGGGGCACCCGTTACCCGTCCGTCGACGGGTCGACGGGTCAACCGAAGATAGGGTCAACCAACGACGGTGAGTAGAATATAACTAAAAGGAAATGGTAAATAAGAACGAACTGGCCGAATATTTCCGGCTCACGAGCAGTCCCGAGCCATTCGAAGGGACGGATCCACTCATGTGGTGGTATGCGCGACGTAAAAGGTTTCCCAATCTATATTGGCTTGCTCGCGATGTCTTGTGTATTCCAGGTATGTTTCAAACCATACCCTTCTTAAACGTTGCTAAGATTCTAATTCTAACCAGGATCCGCTGTCGCTGTCGAACGCATCTTCTCGGGTGGACGCGATACCATTGGGCTGCGTCGTAGTAGTCTGAAAGCGGAGACTATTCAAATGCTCATGTTTGTCAAGGCACGTCTGCGTTTGGCTAGGGAAAAATCGAGGAAGGAGAGGGAGGCAATTGAATTACTCTAGTAGTATTGAACCAGTCGTTCTTTGACAAAAAAAATTGCACAACACCTTGTTTTACTCTCAGTGGACCCGTCAAAAACGGCCGTCACCCGTCGACGGACGGGACCCGTCCGTCTCGCTACCTTGAAGACGAGCGTGACGGACGGGTAGGCCCGTCCCGTGCTCAGCGACGGCCGTTTTTTGCGACGGCCGTCCCGTCGGACGGACGGGTGCAAGCCCTAATTTCAAAAGGAAATATATGTCCACTGACCACAGGTGATATTATCATTGCGATTGCGGCTTTCGTTGTACTACCCATACGAGTTCCTTGGTTGGGCTTACAGCTTGGTAGATGCGCATTGCCTTGGACTTGGACCGGAGAAGGAAAAATCACGACAATTCCCTCGGAGACCAATATTATTCATTGACTTGAATTTCGATAGCAGCTCCTCAGATTCAAGTCGCGACCGGTGGGTATGTGGTCCTGCTTGGCTTCGCGAAGTGCGGCGCGTACGACGTCGACATGTGAGGACATTCATTGTCAGTAACAATGCATCAATGTCACGAGTGACAGCACATCTGTCCCGTTGCCGTCATCTTCCAGAGACTTACAACCCGCTCAATGGAAAGCTCTTTCTCTTATATCCTGCCAAACGCGACCCAGATTGCGCAACTTCGCGAGATCCTGCGGTCTAACCATCACCCGCCGGAGGCGTCTCAGTTCCGATCCATCAGCCTCCTCGCCGACACAGCTCGCGCGGTATGACGCAGAAATTGACAGGATACAGGCGGAAATCGCGAGCTTACAGGGCGCGCTTGCTAAAATTATCTCTCACCGCGCGGCCACCCAGGCATATGTCGAGGGATGCCACAGCATTGTTTCACCCATCCGTCGCCTTCCAGCAGAGTTATTGGTCGAAATATTCTTTCATTTCCTCCCACCGTTTCCCGCAGCCCCCACCAAAGACAATGCTTTGGACCTCCTCCGAAATGTAGACGTTCTTCATTTGGCCCAAGTTTGTTCATACTGGTGAATAATCGCGTTGGACATAACATAACAGCACTTTGGTCCTCGATCGTGGTTCACGACAAAATGGAATACACTCCCGCACAATTCCGACATCTCGTTTCTCTCGCACTCCAGCGAAGCGGAAAATATCCCCTGACGATAGAGCTCGTTGGCGCCACTGGAGGCTCAACACCGATTGCACCATGTGCCCTCGAGCTACTCGGCCAGCATTCCCGTCGCTGGCGTTTCTTGCCTCCATCATCCATCCAGATCCTACGCAGAATGAAAGACAATCTTCCGCTCCTTCAACATCTATATATATATATGGGACCGCCGGGCGAAAACTCGACCTGTTTGCCACTGCTCCAAAACTCGAGACCATAAGCTGCGAACTGCGCGCGGAGGAAATCCCTTCAGCTCTGCCGTGCGCACTGAAGACCTTCGAATATTTCTGTGGCATTCCGGAAGATCACCCGGATCTCTGTCATGACTCGTCTTTCGATCGGGACGGAGGTTAACCTCGACTTCGAGTCCGATATATCTGTTCTATATCTGTTCCCCTCGATATGGTACAGATCACAAGCAATGTTGCCAGCCTTTCGCTCTACTGCACATCTCCTGACCAAGGTCACACCTCCCAGGTCCTCAACGAAATCATGAAACACGTCACTTTCCCACACATGTTCGAGCTTTGTCTTTTTTTCCGGTATCGGGGCGCCGGATATCGATTGGCCCTATGGCCCTATCATGAATCCCTCTCCTTTGCATCTCAGTCCTCATTCTCCACGAATATCACGGTCCTCCAATTAAATGTCGTCAAAATCCTCGAGATCGAGCTGCTCGAGGTCCTGTCGGTGCTTCACGCGCTCGAAGAACTCACCATCTTCAATGAGCAATCTCGCTCCGGAGCTGGTCCCCCTTTGATCCCCAGCGATCTCCTACGTCGCTTGATTTATACCCCCGAACCAGCGTGTTTAATTCCCGCCTTGAAGTCCCTCGTGCTTGGTGCGCTCCTCCACTTCGA